AACAATCATGCAGACTTAATAGGTTTTCTTTTTGACAAATTCTGTGTTTTCTTGTCCTTGACACTCTATTCTGTTGTTTTAGAAAATTTACTTTACATTTGCTTTACTATTCTTCACAGCAGTGATCCAAATGCTGAGATATAGGCCTACTGTGTATATTTTTTTAAGTTTTCACACTTTCTGTAAATGCAGCTGAATAGCATCTTTCATTAGACCATCTCGTCTTCATATAGAGCTGCTACCTGACCAGACAGGGAATGACAAAGTGTCGGGTTTTGAGTGTTCTCTCTCTTTTCTCTGACTGTGGCAGCTGTTTGAGTGTGTGCGTGCAATGTGTTGGGTGTAGATGACAATGACTAGTGGAGAGCGAAAAGAGATAAAGTGTAGCTGATGTTTCTCATAGCCTGGCAAACTAACGAACGGTAATGAATGAAATAAAGCAAAAACACAGCTTCATAGCTTAACATCTCAAATTCAGCATGACCATGTTGGGTTCAGTTTGGTATTACATCAGAAAATCTCCCGATCATTGTATCCCTAAAAGTACTTCAAGTAATGCAACTCTGCATATTTACAATTCATCATTGTATAGGATTGTATATGACTGGCATAAGTCTTTCATGTCAGTTAGAAATTTATGCAGTTGTATTTCTTTTTAGATGTGGATGTAGCAGAATTTAGCACATTGCAGTAATACTGTTTTATGTTTTGAACATGTTTTGACAATGCATGCAAAAGGTTTTTTAAAAGAGTTCAAACGACAAAACAGTTCAGTCCACATTGACTGCTGCTGTGCCGACTGTGTGAAGAGGTTTGAAATAGTTGAAACTAATTTAATTTCCATTTTTTTGTACTTTGTATTTGCTGTTAGTGATGTGTTAGTTTTCAACTGTAAAATATTCCATACAGTATCTTGGTCACTCAACTCTTTAACAACTAAATTTAAGGGACGTTAGAATAATAAATACCAGTTTAGATCTTAAACATCTCAACATTGATATCTTCAGAGAGGAATTTCTCTTCTGAGATTATTTTGCGTCAACTTGCAATTCTTTTGCGTTCCCTCTGACCCGTGCAGAAAGGCTGGATATAGTATGATTTAGTATTACTGTATGCTGTGACCACAGCACGAGCGGGCACACCCTCAGCTGTTGCTGGCTCAGGCGCAAGTCGGCACCATTGCAGCTAGACAGATGACTCGTGGAGCTAGTTGACCTAGCTCTCTCAGTGACTGCTGCCGAGGCTGACTGAGACAGACTGTAGCTGTGATTATGACTATAGCCATGGGATGACAGAGCTTTGGCTGTGGTGATTATGGCTGTGACACATTCGTTTATAATGGATGTAATACTAACTACACACAGGGGTTATGTGTGTGCAGTGAATTGACTCGCTTGTGTTTAGCTTTGTAACTGTATTTATGAATACCTGTGGTGTTTTGATTACACATCAAATATGATAGAAGCACCACAGGTTCAGATACTGTGTGGCACTGGTGGACTCATGATAAAGTGTGACTATCTAGTGGAGATAACACAATAAAGTGCCCTACCAATAGAGAAAACATGGTACCCTGGTGCCCTTCTTATTTTTTTTGCCCCCGCCCCTCAAATAACCAGCGTCCGCCACTGCTGTGTGGCTTAATGTTGCACCATTGGCTAATGTTGGCTGGGAGACAGCCCATTTGGCTGAGCTGCTCCTCAGATAATGAAATAAAAAATAATGAAAATAATAATAATAGTTTTTATTTTATGCAGTGGTTGCATAAATACAAGTACTCAATAACTGCCATGGTTAGATCAAATTAGATTGCCATATCATCCAGACCTTTATTACTTTATGATTGGCATGCTTCAGCGGGACACAGAGATGGGCCCGAGGGGAGGCCCTTTGTCCACTGTCATGTGACACTGTCGCATCCAAACTTGGTAATGTTGCCGTTGTGTGACAGCTCTGGTGAGTCTTTTCAAGTTGTGGAAATGATTAACAATAAATGGAATAACCAGCGGGATGCCCTGTGAATAAAAATCTCCACATATTTGAAAAATGCGCAGCTTGTCATGTTTGCATTACATTGCACAATATTGCGTTATATAATGCTATTACATTAACCAATATTAGCTAGATAACTAGCTGGCTAATATATAGTCAGCATCGGTAGGGTTATTTAGTGCATTATTATTTAGTTCCCTGCTAATGTTAATAGGAGTAGTAAGAGTATACCTACTGTAGTCATATACATAGCACCATAGATTCAACCCCAATGCAGCTGTGGTCTGAACCACATCCAGCCACAGCTTTCACTAGCACTAGAGCAGATGCAGCTGTGCTCACAGCCAGTGGCTGTATACTGTCGGAGCTCGGCGTTTTGAAACGAGTCATGAGCAATAAGTGCATCATGTAAAGTGTCACATCATCTCTCCCTTCTGTAGTGTCTGCACAGTGTTTCTCGAAACTGACAGTGTGACTGGACTGGACCAACACAAAACTGTTCTCATGGATCGGGGGAACTGCGAAAAACATTGTGAGGGAACATAAAAATAGTTCTGAAAATGACATTGTGTGGCTCATATTTATAGCGTATTTATAAAGCACCACTATGGTCTGAAAGAAAAAAAAAACTTCTAAACTTTCTATTCACCAACTTTTCCTTTAGTGGAAGACGATGTATTATTTACCTTATAAATAGCTCCAGCTAGGGAGGGACTTGTCGTGGTAGCTAATAGCACTGCATGTGTGTTGCCTCCCTCCGCCGTGCAGCTATAGTGGTCCTGTTAGCTGACTTGGCTGGACTGGGAGCTCCCAGCGAACAGGACAACCAGATTGGGACCAAACATAGCATCTGAGGCACGTCACTTAGAGTGGCACCATAGTCTGAAAAAGTAAAAAAGTAACTCTTAAACTTTCCATTTTTTTAAATTCACAAACTTTTCCTTTTTTTTTTGAAGACTATGCTACATGTATTATTTACCTTATATGTAGCTCCAGGCTGAGAACAACATGTTGGAAGTGTCTCCAACCCACAAAACTCATCATTTATTTACACATCATCAGGAGATGATGTGGGAAATATTCCACACACCTTACAGCTTAAAACATCCAATATACTAAACACCATTAAATGACAACAGAGGCTCTTATGTACTTAGTGTGAAAAATGTGTTGGTGTATCCACAAACAGGAGTCTTAAAAAATTAATTCTGCAGTGGGCCAGAATCTAAATTCAGATGTTCCTGCAGATTGGTTGGTCTTTAAAAAGAATTACTAAAGTTTGTTGCAGTTCGTCCTCCTGCTGTGCTGCGCCTGCTACCAGCTATGTGTTTGTAAAGATTTGATGATCACATTTTGCCCGGAAAACATGTGACAGCATCATTGGAACAACAGCAGAATTTATTGTGAGCTGTAGAAGTTTTGTCTCCAATCTCGCCGCAGAAAATCCAAACAAGTTGGAAGAGTCTGCTTTTTTTCCCGCATGACCTCAGTTCTCATCTGCCCTGCTGCTCCTAATGAAGACGTGCCTATGTAAATGAGGATGAGTTGAGCCTGACTGCTTCCAAATATGAAATGTGAGCCCCTAATGGAAGCCGGGCTGAATTAGTAATAGAAAGCAGAGGGCTCAGCTGTGTCCGTGGAAGAGGAAATAAAAGCTTTTTTCAGCTGTCTCCCACTGAATCCCTTGTTCTCCAGCACACAGCAAACAGGTTCAGTCGTATTTTAATTAATTTCCAGGAAAAAGTGTCAGCGTGATCTGTTGTTGTTATTTATTTATTGTCGTAAAATATAATTTGGGCTTCATGGCTTAAGTTTTAGCGGGAGGTTTAATATTAAATGGCTTTTCTGACTCATTGCTTGCAAAAGCTGCTCAGCATCTGTCACTAACTCAAATGCTCGAGGTAATGAAATATTGATTAACAGTGATGAAAGTATGAAATGAGATTATTGTTTACTTGCTCTATTACATCTTGGTTGGTTTGTCGTAGACCCCACGGAGCTGCAAAGCAAGGCTGCGTGATAGTGGCAACAAAAATCAGATGACTTTTTTGTATAAATATTAAATCTTGTGGACATAACTTTAATATCAATTTATTTTCCAGCTTTCTCTCTGTCAGTCAGTGAGTGAGGTCCAGTTTTTACCTCACTTTGAAGGCCAGTGGTTGAACACAGCAGCAGGTACATGGTTCACAATGTCATTTTCTGATGTTTGAGATTTCCCAGACAAAAATCTCCAAAATATATTCTCTTATATTTTCTTTATCAAATTAAAGAATCTTTTTTTTTTTTGAGTTAGGGTATAAACTGTACAAAACAATGCGTAATGTTGCCACATCTTTGTGCCTTACAGCTACTGATGCAACAGGCTTCGAACAAGCAAAGTCAAAAGTAGATAACGCCAAGTATTCCTGTTTGAATCTTCAGGTATTTTTATCGCAATTTAAATGTCTCACGATATATTGTTACATCCCTAGTACCTGAACACTTTGCATCTCAGACTGTCTGAAACATGCCGTCTTGAATTTTGTTCAGTCCCCATGATACAGACAGTGCTATTTGCTTCTGTATATGTACTTGTTTCCTGTTAAAACTGGCAACTAGAGAGGGACTTAATGGTAGCCAACAGCGCTGAATTTGGTTACGTCCCCCCACCATGCAGCTTTAGTGGTCATATTAGCTGACTCTGCCAGACTGGGAGCTCCCAGTGAACAGCATTTCCAGACCAGGACCAAATACAGCAACGGAGGCGAATTTGAAAACCGGGAATACAGTACAGAGGTGGATTTCTTGCCTATTTTGGTGTTCACTGGGAGGCTGCTGAGGTGAAACAAAAGTTGAAGACTGATTAATGGGTGGATGTCGTGATATTACTGGTTAAAATTGGTTGGTTCATACTTGACTGTGACACATAAACATTTACCATTCCATCTCAACTTTAAATGAACATTTCAGGCATTGACACAAAGTGCATCCTCAGTAACCATGTCTGTGTTTGTGTCTTTCTCCAGATGAAGTCAACAGAGGTGGACCAAGGGCTTTTCACAGACAGCTACTGCAAAGTGTGCAGCGCTCAGCTCATCTCCGAGTCCCAGAGGGTCGCCCATTATGAGGTGGAGATGCCCCCTCACATCACCTCACATGACTGATACACTACACTCTTTTGGAGTTAATGAAAGGCTTATATAGGGTTACTCTGTTTTGGCTCTGCCCCTTGAGACATTTGGCTGATCTATGCACCTGAGCCTTGCAGCTGACATACTGTCAATAAACACACAACACACCTGAGTTTACCCAGTTATTTTTTCATTAAACCTCAGTAGAGAACTACAATGGAAATGGAAGAATAATGGCAGTAGAAATTGAACTTTTGCTACAATTTTCTTTCTCCTCCTACTTAAATGGTGTGCATACATCATTTCTGAAACACAAATGTTGAAGGTGTTGTGTATGGCTTATTAACAGCAATAACATTGCCACATTGTATTTGAGTCATTAGTATAATTGCAGTAAACAAGCAAAGTCATCACTGAAATGCTACACTTCATTTTACATTGTGTGCTCTTTTACGTACCACTTCATTTGTATTGCAAATTGAGGCAGTGTGTAAAAATATAGGCTGCAAACATGGCAGCTAATCCAGCAGTGTGAGCAGCCAAAAGTAATACAAAAACACTGATCAGTCATACTTACACAAGAATAATCCAGTCCACACACTGAAAGCCAAATATGCCACATTATGTGTGTTTTTGTGGACATTTTTAATGATAATTGACTGACATTGAATTGACTGTCTGCTGTTATAGCGTACACTGTTGGCCAGTTTTGTGTTACTTATGAACATAAGAGTCATTTTTATAAATGCTCTCATAAGGCTAACTTTTACTCAATGAAATAATAGTGAAATTAAAATACTACCCATTTTTCTTGTGACTCCCTGAAACCTCCTCAAGGACCCCAGAGCTCACAGAACTGAGGTTGAGAACTGCTGGTGCAAGGGATTCCAATTTAAAATTTAGTAATTATGGGGTGGCAGCTCACAAAGTTGGCAGATCGATCCCCAGCTCCTCCTGTCCACATGCCCAAATGTCCTTGAGTAAGACACTGAACCGTAAATTGCTTCTGATGGTTAAGCCAGTGCTTTGCATGGTGGCTTGCTGGCATGTGTGTGTGTGTGTGTGTGTGTGTGTGTGTGTGTGTGTGTGAATGAGAATTGTAAAGGGTTTTGGTAAAAATGATCAACGCACCATTGATAACATTAGACTTACAGATATGCTGTTTTACCAGGAGTTAGATGGAGTGTTGACTGTTTGGGGATTTATTAGCTTGGCACAATGGTTAAAGTAGAGTTGTAGGGAAGGAGCTAGCCTCTACCAAAGGAGAACAAAACGCACCTCCCAATAACTTCAGAGTTGCATGTTGTGTCTTCCTAGCTGTTAACTAAGCCTGCATTCAGGAATCATCTAGTTTTGTTCAGAGTTGGAGGATGCATGAACTTGGTATTGATGGTCAGAGAATAGCTCCAACTCATATGCTCGCTGCTTTTTTAAAGCTGTCTTGTTTTCTGTTCCTACATGTGTTAAATACAGAAGAGGCAACCTGAAGTCATTTCTGTATCATATTTTTATGTTTTGATCTAATTTCATTAACATTCTTTGGTTCTTAACTTCATATTTGTAGCTGTGCATGTGTCCAAGCACAACTAGAGCCTTATTATCAGCCGATATTGTAGATATCTGTATCAGTATTGCCACATATGTCATCCCATATTTGCCGATATGAAAATTGTTTTTTCCAACATATAATGAAAAAGTACTGATGTTTAGCTATTTACTAAAATTGTATTCTTTACTTTCTCAGTGTTCATTTCTAGAAATGGTTGACAAGATAGCATATATGTTGAATTATTTAACATGTTAAAGAATATTCATTTCTAATTCTGTGATTAAGTTATTACCTTAACATTTTATATTGGTGCAAAATTGGTCTATTTTAATTTTTCCATCAGAAATTCACTATATTGGCCACCATATTGGTAATTGGTGAAGTTTTTCTTTTTTCTCTATGAAATTGGTGTCGGCCTCAAAATCCCCATATCAGTCAGGCTCTATTCAGAACCACTGGCTCGCTCATGAGCTGTTTGGCTTTCAGCTGATTGTTATGCAGCCACTATAATTCCACACCTCACTATTACTCACTACTCCTCCTCATGTGCTTAAGATTTTGCTATTTATGATGTAGATTTCATGTCTGTACATGTGTTTGTGGTGAAGTAGCAGAATCCTCATTGCTGCATGGATTCATTGAGAGCTCCTTAAAAGACAACTAGAGGGGCGCAAGTGACACTTGACCAACTTCACAGAAGAACCAAACCAAGAACTGACCATACTTGGCCGTGATTTTGGATTAATATTAAACCTTTATAGAGATGACATGCTTAATGAACAATATTTTGACATTTATTGAATAAAATGTTTTTCTGTCTTTTAAGTGCTCTTACTCCCTTTTAGCCACAAACAGTTCAGTGTTTTCTAGATTGGTTACAATTCACTAGAATTTTCTAGCAGTTGTTAGATAAAGCCAATGTAACCAATAGTTGTTGCACGTTTGTGATATTAATTTGATGATTCTGAATGTATCGGAACAACAAGCAAGGAGAATGAACATTTAATTAATTTATTTCTACACAGTATAACATTACACAAGTCTCATTCGAAACTACTTCCAACTTCACAAAAACAAATACTTGCATATTTATTGATACGACGGACTATGTATACGTTAACAGTTACTTACAAATTAACTCGCTACAAACTCGCTTTTCTTCCTCCCTCTCATGCCTCTCCTGTCCCAGCCTGAACCCACCGTGTCTTCATCCCCAGAGTCATAGTTCCGGTCGGAGGTGCTGTAAATCAGCTGCTCTTCGTTGAGGCTATGAGCCGATGGGCCCCCCACTCTTACACTAGTAGTGTTTAAACTCCCCCCGTTCATCATGCTCCCAGTCCGGGTAAAGACAGCTAGTAGGACCGCTAACGAGCTAGTACAGTTAGCACATGCAACAGTGCACCAGTAGGTGCTTCCCTGTGTTGCAACAATCCTCTGATACTTTGGTCCCGGTTACAATGCGCAGGTCCTGAATTAAGTTTAATGTTGTTTTTGTTTTTCTGCGATTATCCGACTAATGAAAAGTACATAGAGTAAGACTCTTGTCAGACGATGAAGTCGTCTATTTTGGGGCAACCCTAGAATTCACAGGTGCCCTTTTGGCAGTAGAAAGAGCTCATCAAGAGCTGTACTTGATACACATACCTCAATTTAGCCCAAAATGTCACTTGCTACCCTCTGGTTCTCACCCCTCGAAGTCCATCATTTGATACAATCGACAGTGCCTTCAGACGTTTCTGACTGAACAGTAAATACTCTTAAAAGGTGTGCATGAGTCATATACCTGCGTATACTCCCATCTGATTTTCCTTCACGCTTCAAGGACAGTGTGAGTTGGTTTCCTTCCTCTGGCCTGGGTGTTGTCAGATAGTGGACCTTTCTCTCTCTGCAGATGCTGCCTCTCACTCACTGTCACTTTGAGTTACAAGACTGGTCTGACTACAAGCCTGCTGCTGTTGGACATCTGCAGTAACAAGAGTTGATAGGACTCATATGAACACTGTGGCTCACTCTTAAGTTTTAGCAAGGGCGGCTGGTTGTTGTTCCCTTAGAGACCAGAAGAAAATTATTTGAGACCTTGAGTCAGGTTAGCATTATTATTGATTTATTGTTGTTCCTAAAAGAGGGCAGGTTGCTGCTGAGGTGAAATCTCATCAAAGAGAAATAAAGTGCCATTAATTCAATTTGACATTGTTTCTTTGTTCAGAGTTTGCATTACTTTGTCTTTGAGTCAACTTTTCTTCTGCAGCTCTTAACAAGTCAACCTCCGTTTCCTGCAGGCTGTTGTGCTCACTGTGGAGTGCTATTTAAAGTAGCTCTAACTGTCCATGGGTAACAGGAGAACTGCTTTGTTCTTCAGGGCGTTGCAGGAGACAGGAAGTGGCTGTACCAATTCAAATCAAATATTCATTTTGTTATTGTGTGGTGAATGCTGAATACAGCACTTGGCCTGTTGCCTCCTAGAGATGGGGCATATTTGGATTCTCTGTTAGCGCAGTTAGGGTCTAATGCATCGTGACATGTTTGGGTCACAGTGACGACAGCAAGAACAAAAAAACAGATGGGAAGTAAAGGGTGTGCAAACTTTCCTTTCCTTCAGAAAGAGGAGGTCGTATTTCTCTGAAGAAGACAGTTGTTTCAGTTTTGTTTGCATAGATTTGTCTATAATTATTCCTTTTGTACTGTTTGTAGATTCACTCTTTAATGCAAAATCAGACTGCTTTGTTGAATATCGAGGCTTTGATATTTATAAATTATGTCTTTGCACAAAATATCTTATTTTTTTCTTAGATTACTAGATGTAATGCCTGAGCTGAATGATCTTCAGTGGTTTCAACAGTCATAATAAAAGTACGGATTGTATCTGACTTGCATCTCAGTTTGGAGTCCAGGGATTCAACACGGCACCAGAACGTCTTCAATCCAAAATATAAACATGTCTGTTTGGAAAAAATCTCAATAAATATCATGAGTAGTGATAGTAGCCAGCATGCCAAACAGACAAAAACATTCAAAAGAGACTAATCAGACAGTATAGTAAGAGTCAAATCAAGTGTTTGCTGGATTGTCTAACAGTGTCTGAAACCAGCTTTCAAACAGCGTAATTGGAGGGGGCTGCAGATAATCATTTGTAATTCTCTGGAACGGACAATCCGACCCACATTACCTAGCGATTGGCCAGCTGTGATAAGGTATGCACCTCTAGGATGACATTAAACACAGTGCTACCCTCACTGGGGGATTGACATGTGATTAGAAATATTACATCAGCTAGTATGTTGCACTAGAAGTATTGACAACAGTAGCATAACAGGATCTGCCATGTTGTACTGCCATACTTCTACAGTAGCCGAGAAGGAACAAACCAAACACTCGTATTTTTTGCAAGTTTTGTGTCCACCGTAGTTTCTCCTACACGCTTGGTTGATGGTGATGGGTTTCAGTTGCA